TGTTAGCGCTTTCATCCATTTTTATTAGCATTAACTTAACATGTGCTGTGAGGTCAACTGTATTTAATCCTCCCCTCTCATAATTTTGAACTATAGTTTTTCGCTTAACCCTTTCTTTTTTCCCTCCCCAGATGTAACTATACAATATGCCTTCTATTTCTTTTATTTTTGTTTTTGTTATTGGTAGCACCGAATAGGTGTATGTAATTTGTGGTATAAGTAAGGAGTTTATAATTTGTATTCGGCCAATCATTGTTAATTTCCGTTTGTTCCAAGAAATTAAAAGTTTTTTAATTTTTTCTATCTTAGTTTCCCAAACTTTTTATATAATTCTCCTAAATCATATAAAATAATACAATTGTCAAATATAAAACATTGATTATAACTTTGACTTGAAGTTCTTTCAAATTTTTGTTTTAAATCTTTGGCAAAATCAGCCTTAAACAAGATATAAGGCTTGAGCGAAGAATTCATACTTGAGCATGTGAACGGTTTCATATATACGGGCCCGGATTGAAATTTGAGAACTATGCGAAATCATATTAGAGTTTTTGGTTTTCTTCGTATTGAAATGATAGGGAGCAATGGTCTCGCTTCATCTATTTTAGTCGTTCTGTAGTATAAATTGTGTTGACAAGAAATTGTTTTAAAGGAACCTTATTGAACGTTTAATCCTTACTACCACTACTTACTACTATTTTTGTTTTTAGAAAATATCTTTTCTTGATTTCCTTTAGCTTAAAGTCGTACACTGTGGTGTGTACTTACTAGTACACTTATATTGATGACTTTATTTACCAGAAATATACATCTTTGTATTTCATTTCAATTAAATCCAAGATACTTAATATAAAACTAGAAGTAAATATATAATTGTTTCAACTCCGAGTTTTTACTGTGTATTTTACTTTAGAAAACAATGAGGCGAGCAGTCCAACATATATACGCATGTCTCCTGTTGTTTGGTGTTTACCTCGTTGACAGTCAGTACACCAATGAGGGATCATGTCAAGAAATTACTGTAAGTAAGCTTATCTCGTTTATTCAGAAAAAATACATTCTTTCTCACAAAACTGCTCATTGCTTCTATCACGGTTTTACCACCTGTATTTTTGAGGGACGTAAAAATACCCTAGATAAAATTGCATGTTCACCTATTTTGTATCAATTCTATGCTTACCCACTTTAGGCCTTGTCATTGTTGTTAGGAGCCTCACCTATTTCCACCCTCGTCATTGTTGTTAGGAGCCTCACCTATCTCCACCCTCGTCATTGTTGTTAGGAGCCTCACCTATTTCCACCCTCGTCATTGTTGTTAGGAGCCTCTCCTATCTCCACCCTCGTCATTGTTGTTAGGAGCCTCACCTATTTCCACCCTCGTCATTGTTGTTAGGAGCCTCACCTATCTCCACCCTCGTCATTGTTGGTAGGAGCCTCACCTATCTCCACCCTCGTCATTGTTGTTAGGAGCCTCACCCATCTCCACCCTCGTCATTGTTGTTTGGAGCCTCACCTATCTCCACCCTCGTCATAGTTGTTAGGAGCATCTCCTATCTCCACCCTCGTCATTGTTGTTAGGAGCCTCACCTATTTCCACCCTCGCCATTGTTGTTAGGAGCCTCACCTATCTCCACCCTCGTCATTGTTGTTAGGAGCCTCTCCTATCTCCACCCTCGTCATTGTTGGTAGGAGCCTCACCTATTTCCACCCTCGTCATTGTTGTTAGGAGCCTCTCCTATCTCCACCCTCGTCATTGTTGTTAGGAGCCTCACCTATTTCCACCCTCGCCATTGTTGTTAGGAGCCTCACCTATCTCCACCCTCGTCATTGTTGTTAGGAGCCTCAAGGTACAAAGCATATCAAGTCACCTCATCTCAAGCTTTGTACTTTCAACTGGTAAACAATGTATGGTAGACTGGTGTACAATATATTGTAGACTGGTGTACAATGTATTGTAGACTGGTGTACAATGTATTGTAGACTGGTGTACATGTATGTATTGTAGGGTGTACAATGTATTGTAGACTGATGTACAATGTACTGTAGACTGGTGTACAATGTATTGTAGACTGGTGTACAATGTATCATAGGCTGGCGTACAATGTATTGTAGATTAGTGTACAATGTATTGCAGACTGATGTACAATGTATTGTAGCATCGAAGTAATTTTGATTTCACCAATGTACTTTTTTTGTAGATAGAATGAGTAGAGTCGATGTGTAGTTTATGTGCTGCTATCTTAGAACACTATTAGATGTAGTAAAAGGTGACGACTTTGAACGCAACACACAATAACCCTTTTGTTGAGCAAATAATTTTATTTGATATGAAACAAGTTTTACCATTGGCTATAGCCTTAAAAATGACGAAATCTTAAGTTTGTAACGTCTTGTTTCATTGGTCAATGCCACTGTGTAAGAAATCATCGAGGTCAGCTTTATACGTAATTACTCAGTTAACAAGCCTAGCCGTATTTTGCATTCCTTGTCAGTATGAGATTTTTTTTATTTCAGAAAATGTGAAAACTATGATTTAATTGAAATATGAATGACAAGGTGGTCGTAATCTGACAGAAAAAGCCAGTTTTTATTTATACAACATTCCACAAAAAGGTCTCCACTGGATGTAAAATAATCAAGACTTTTAATCATGACTATAATGATCATATTTAAACGTTTAGCTGCCCTGCGGTGGCATTTATATCACGATAGGCGACAGAAATTGTGTGGTAGTGTATGACAATGGTTACGTCAACAATATCAATGACGTCCATCCTTCACATGTCGAATCTGCGTACAACGTTTCGTTATGTACATTTTTCGTTCATTTATCCGTCATTTTATTAATTTTGAGAGATAACATTATTACTATTTTCCCTTTTCAGGCATCGATGTGTAGCACAATGCCTTACAATAGGACGTTCCTTCCAAACAGATTTGGACAAAGCAATGTGGACAGCATTGCCTTGGAAATCCACCAGTTCTTCCCCTTGATTAAAGTACAATGTAGTACAGCTATACGGAATTTCCTATGTTCAACATATTTTCCAGAGTGCAGCCCAAGGGGAGGAGGAATCGAATCATGTGCCGGACTCTGCAGGCAGTCTAGGGCAGGATGCGAGCCTTTAATGAATAAGTTCGGATTTCAGTGGCCGGCATCCCTGGATTGTGACTCATTTTCAGAAAGTTATCGATGCTACGACGGATAATAGATCAGTGTTTTATCTTTTTGAGATAAGCCAGTTAGTAATTGAATCTTATTTGAACTTTAATTCTTCCGTTGTTTTTCCTACCTTATTTGATTAGCTTTTTCTTAAATTATTGAAATCAAATTTAAATCGTATAACAAAGCCATCGCTAGGAATTAATGATCTTTTCTGTATATCAGTTTCAAAATTTTAATGACCAGGGCTCAGAAATGTGATGAAAATTGGAGACTCTTCAGGAAATTTGAAACCCCGATGTTGGTATGTTATAATTGTTTGATTGAATTCACGACATGAACATGTATTATGGTAAAAGTGTCATGTCCTGGTACGCCAACTGTCGGGTCAACATGTACAATAAATACATCATAATTATTGTTTAGTACAATCAAAAGTTTATGTGTGAAAGGCCAACCAGGAGATATGGAAACGTATACTTAGAGTAGAAGTAGTATGGAATCAGATTGAAAATTAAGCCACTGATCAAAAGTACCAATAAACAATTGGTGTCTTTTCTATCTTTTGTGTCTGTGTGTTTAGCATTCAGGAATAACATCAAGTATCTTTGGTACAAGCACATGTTTTCTTTATTCCAGCATGGCGGCTAAACAGAATGTATGAGCTTACGCAGTCATAACTACCGTTATAGAAATTGCCACAAAGGACATTTACGTATGAACGTAATACTAATAACCGTAATATGCGCTTGCAAGTAATTACAAACATAACACTATCTGTTGTGGATACAAGATTCCTGTCGAAGACTATTACATGGTAACACAAGACATACACTCTTGTATTCTGAATGCTAAAGTTTTACGATACGCTTTGGCGTTCTCCGGTACCAGTAATTCATAACATAGTTAAACATGTCTCTAGCAGCAATAGTTACCCACACTGCTCGACTCTGATCCCTATGTTCTATACATCTAAAGACTTCACAGTAATATCATATAAAACAAAATACACTACGCGAAGCATTTTCCAAATGCGAAAAAATCGCTACATTTTCCACCTGTGCATTACGTTATTGTCAGGGGTCTTCTCAGTAGGCATGTACTTAAGGAGGTATGCGACTCGCATAAAAAATAAAACAATGCAAAATTAAACTTTTGTATTGGTGATGATTTTTTGAAAAGTTAGATGGACGGAATTTCGTAGACACAATAAAATACCATTGGTGACGTTATGAATACGTTTTTAAGAGTCTTGTGATGGTGTGGGGCGTTTACAGAGGTTATTGCAGTGTCTTAATGCATTCTTGGAGAGATGGCTCTATAATGTCTTAGATTCCTATCTGTCAAGGGGTATACTCATGAAAATGTTATAATATCGGACTACCGTCCTGCCCAGGGATGTAACCATAGTAACTTTGTTATAGATACACGGTAAGATAAATATCCTATTCAAACTGACAAATATATTGACTTAATCACTATTGAAAAGTAATCTTAATATGATATGTCACATCCGTATTCAACCTTCGAACACACATTCAACTTAATATTAGAAACAGTCTTAAATAACAATGGAAATCACAGAGATTTTTTTCAACTACAGTCATACTCAAACTGACATTAAAACACATCCCTCTAAGAGATCCGGAACAGAACGTCTATATCGACAGTGTGTATTGGGTGTTCGGCGGAGGTGGTTCCAATTTCGCGGTTTATCAGAGGATTTGTTTAAATGTATTTTCGCGGAAGATATAAAATAGGCCACGGTTACTGAAAAGGATTCGAATAAGCTACCCTTAACAGTAAAACTAGATCGAATAATGAATGATATAGGTACCAGCTACTTTTACCGCCTCGCCACTATCTGTGTCGGTGATGTCCATATCGGGCCAGACCATAGCCTTGTCCATAGGTGGAGCTCCGCCCTCAGAGTGTCCAAAACAAACTAAAAAAGGTGAGGAAGTCATATGATCACAGTTAAACCAACTGAACTCATTGTAGGACCTAGTAATGGCAAACGGGTAGTCATTTAGTGTTTTTGGAATCATGAACACAACATCAAGACCAGTTTTCAACGCTGAGAGTACTAAAACCTTTTGTTTGTTAACAGAAGCATCGAGCGAGTTTTAGTGGAAAGGGCAGGTCAAGAGAGCTGACGACGATCATCACAGAACTGAGATCGGAATAACTGACGGAAGTCACAACCGAGACAACAACGGTCATCATACATAATGATTAAAATGGTCAATGAAAAAAATCAATGTAACAAAAGTTGATGAAGCCCGAAACTTTTAAAAGTAACCAGAGTTGAGTAATTCCAAAAACACTCAAACACTCAAGGTAAAACATTTTGTGTAACCAAAGACTGCTAAAGGTAGCAAAGGTTGGTGTAGTCGAGGAATGTTAAAGGTAACAGAAGTTGGTGTAGCCAAGGACTGCTAAAGGTAACAAAGGTTGGTGTAGTCAAGGGTTTCTAAAGGTAACAAAGGTTGGTGTAGTTACGGGCTGCTAAAGGTAACAAAGGTTGGTGTAATCAAGGACTGCGAAAGGTAGCAAAGGTTGGTGTAGCCAAACACTGCTAAAGGTAACAAAGGTTTTTATAGCCAAAACACTGATGAAGATAACAAAGGTTTTTATAGCCAAACACTGCTAAAGGTAATAAAGGTTATTGTAACCAAGGACTGCTAACAGTAACCAAGTTTAGTGGAGCCAAGGACTGCGAAAGACATTGTCAGGTTTCTATTACATTAAAGACAGCGTGTTCATTGTCAGGTTTTTGTTACTTTAAAGACAGTGTTGACATTGTCAGCATTTTGTGACATTAAAGACAGCATGGACATTGTCATGTTTTTCTAACGTTAAAGACAGCATGGACATTGTCAGTTTTTTGTGACATTAAAGACAGCATGGACATTGTCAGTATTTTGTGATATTAAAGACAGCATGGACATTGTCAGTATTTAGTGATATTAAAGACAGCATGGACATTGTCAGTATTTAGTGATATTAAAGACAGCATGGACATTGTCAGTATTTAGTGATATTAAAGACAGCATGGACATTGTCAGTATTTAGTGATATTAAAGACAGCATGGACATTGTCAGCATTTAGTGATATTAAAGACAGCATGGACATTGTCAGCATTTAGTGATATTAAAGACAGCATGGACATTGTCAGTATTTTGTGATATTAAAGACAGCGTGGACATTGTCAGCATTTTGTGATATTAAAGACAGCGTGGACATTGTCAGCATTTTGTGATATTAAAGACAGCGTGGACATTGTCAGTATTTAGTGATATTAAAGACAGCATGGACATTGTCAGTATTTAGTGATATTAAAGACAGCATGGACATTGTCAGCATTTAGTGACATTAAAGACAGCGTGGACATTGTCAGCATTTTGTGATATTAAAGACAGCGTGGACATTGTCAGTATTTAGTGATATTAAAAACAGCATGGACATTGTCAGTATTTAGTGATATTAAAGACAGCATGGACATTGTCAGCATTTTGTGACATTAAAGACAGCATGGACATTGTCAGTATTTAGTGATATTAAAGACAGCATGGACATTGTCAGCATTTAGTGACATTAAAGACAGCATGGACATTGTCAGTATTTAGTGATATTAAAGACAGCGTGGACATTGTCAGTATTTTGTGACATTTATGACAGTGTGGACATTGTCAGTATTTTGTGACATTAAAGACTGCGTGGACATTGTCAGGTATTTGTTACTTTAAAGACAGTGTTGACATTGTCAGTATTTTGTGACATTAAAGACAGTGTTGACATTGTCAGGTTTTTGTTACTTTAAAGACAGCGTGGACATTGTCATGTTTTTCTAACGTTAAAGACAGCGTGGACATTGTCAGTATTTTGTGACATTAAAGACAGCATGGACATTGTCAGTATTTTGTGACATTAAAGACAGCATGGACATTGTCAGTATTTTGTGACATTAAAGACAGCGTGGACATTGTCAGTATTTTGTGACATTAAAGACAGCATGGACATTATCAGTTTTTTTTTCTCCCATTTTCACCTGTATGATACTGGTCCGTCCTGAAAACACCTAATTACCGAAGTTTTATTACATATGACACAAAATATGCCAGAAAATCACTTGTATGATACTGGTCCGTCCTGAAAATTCTGGAATCATGGCGTAAACTCGAGTTCAGTGTTAACATTATGAAACTTTGAAAGCATTTAAAACACTGTAAAGGTTTAAAAATGAGTCTGAGAGAAATATACTGTTTATTATGTTTGTATATAGGATAGCGATACATCACTCGAAGGTCACAAATATAAGGTCACACCCTCTAAGAGGCCTCGATGGATTCTGGCACATCAGGACTTTTTTCTTTTTCTTCAAAAACTTTTTTAAAGTGATAAATCATTGTGGATTGTTTTATGGATTCTGATCCAGACTTGGAATGTTCTCTTTAAAGATTTCTTTCTGTTTTCGTCATAATGACTTCCGGTAAGCTAGAGTGAGACTAGCGACCGTGAAACTCCTGCAAACCTCTCCATAGTCGTGCCACAGTAAAGAAACACGAGAAAACTCACCAATATTCGACTGTTATAGAGTATAATAAAACCATTTTTCTTACATCAAAAATCTTAGAATATATGTTACAAAATCTGGCTTGTACACGTACACCGCGATGCAATGTAAGGCTTCAACCATACCAAGCAACATATTGAAGAAGAAGAAATGTGAAAGAAATTTGTACAACCCAGCACTAGGAAATGCAAAACAGTTAGTGTTAACTCTGAAGTTGAAAGCTGTATAATTGTACGAAAGAATAAATACCTCTTCCCAATTATGCCAGTACAAATTGGAAAAAATTCTTTCTGTCTTTGAAGATAAATGTATGTTTCTCGTGTAATTATAGTGTAGTTGTACCGTAATAGCATTTACATGTATCGCCTAACTATGACCTGGAATTATCTGAATAAGAAGTTATTTTAGTGTGTTAGGACTTTTGAGTGACGTCATTCTAGGACTTGTCATTAATATTAATTAGAACAGATTAACAGTGAGATCCTATATGCATCGCCTTCTGTATTCATTTTATTAGCGTAAATCATAGGCTCTCGAAAATTTTTAATTTTTGGCAGTAATTACTACGTCCTCGATCATTGACGTGTTGGAATACCCTTGTAAACCGTCACTGTAACATGTCTTCTGTATACGATAGATATAAACAGGTCATTGCGCATTTTATAACACTCGTATTCCTCTCTCTCCCATCATTTCCCTCCCACCATTTCTATTTTTTCTCCCATCATCTCATACTTTCTCCCCATCATATCATACATTCTCCCCCATCTTTCCATAATTTCTCTCCCATCATATCATACTTTCTCTCCCATCATCTCATATACATCATCTCATACTTTCTCCGAATCATATCATACTTTCTCCCCCATCATCTCATACATTCTCCCCCATCATATCATACTTTCTCTCCAATCATCTCATACATTCTCCCCATCATTTCATACATTCTCCCCCATCATCTCATACTTTCTCCCCATCATATCATACATTCTCCCCCATCATCTCATACTTTCTCTCGAATCATATCATACTTTCTCCCCCATCATCTCATACTTTCTCCCCATCATATCATACTTTCTCCCCCAACATTTCATACTTTCTCCCCCATCATCTCATACTTTCTCCCCAACATTTCATACTTTCTCCCCCATCATATCATACTTTCTCCCCCAACATTTCATACTTTCTCCCCCATCATATCATACTTTCTCCCCCAACATTTCATACTTTCTCCCCATCATTTCATACTTTCTCCCCCATCATATCATACTTTCTCCCCCATCATCTCATACTTTCTCCCCCATCATCTCATACTTTCTCTCCCATCATTTCATCATTTCTCTCCCATCATATCATACTTTCTCCCCCATCATCTCATACTTTCTCTCGAATCATATCATACATTCTCCCCCATCATTTCATACTTTCTCCCCCAACATTTCATACTTTCTCCCCCATCATGCCATACTTTTCCTTCCGGACCCGATTTCCTATCTTTTCTCGTCCGCTGAAAAGTCAAAGTGCTTAAATGCCGTAATCCCCGTTAAATAAATAAATAAATAAATAACCGCATTTCAACTTTGAAAGATGATAGAAAGGAACGGGTTGTTTACGATATAAGACTGTTTGTATGATGGATTATGGAAAATGAGTCATTACCTAGGATAGGCCTTGTAAAGCTGTACATACATATTCACCTACATATACTGCATGAGATAAAGTTACCTGTTGAAATCATGATAACAGTGTATATAGGTATGGTTGTTCGAGGAATATTAGAGGTTGTAAAATATGACTCTGAAACCTTGACCTAAAGACGATGACGTAATGGCACACTTAGTTAAATGCGAACTGGACCTGTTTACAAGGTTATTGAGATATGACATCGAATTGGGACGCGGTGGATATATGTAACACGTCGATTAAAAACGCGACTAAGGTTCAATTTAGAATCAAGTACTGTATCATAAAAACCTTTAACTTGAATTAATCAAACATCACTTTAGCTCACATAACAATAACGCCCAGCTAATGTAATTATATACCACTAACTATACGACTAGATGTTTCCGCGGGGGTAGATTTTGTCGGGTACTTGTAAAAATACTAATATTATTTCGTGGAAAATTAATTGCATGTATATATAAAGCACAATAAACCTACGTAGACTTATTTTTCGTGGACAAATAAATTCACGGATATAAAATATCCACAAAATCAAGGAAAAAAATACCCCACGAAAATTAATGATTTTAAAGTGCATGCTGTGATGTCAACCTGAAGCGTAATCATCTGGGAATTTACTCGAAACTTATAAATTTTAAAATAGAGTTATAAACTCATGCACTCAGAATACTGTCAAGTTGGAAGAATTATAAAATCCATTTGATAAAGTCTATATTCTGATGTCTAGGATTAAAGTTTTGTTTAACCGGGGCAACGTGTGATGACAAGTTAGATCTAATGGGAATGTAGAGCTAGTGTGTATATGTAGGCACTTCAGTTCAGAACATTATGAACACAATAGCAATAATGATGATCTGTTTCCGTACAATACACATATTTCGACCTATTTGTGGTCAATTACACTTAGCTGAAAGACAGGCTTTCCTTTGGATTACTTTTCACTACCAGAGGTCAAAGATCAATGTCACTTTTACTTATTTTTTTTATTTGGGAACTCCTTGAAATAAACTATGGCTTCCTCATTGAACAGCATAGAATGAAGGAAAGTGAATGGTATTGTATCGCGATACATTTCAATTTTTAAGTTATTTATTTCATTGAAATCCTTTAAGGAATGATATTGTAACAGTGCTGACGAAAAATTTCTAAAAACAGCTGCGGTGACATAAACCATAATTTTATTTCAAACATGTCCGTGATATAATCGACTTAAAAAGATGTTTGGAGTTTGATCATAGCCCTAAATGAATGAAACTGCTGGAATGATGACAAACTTGTCTTCCCCTCCCATGTTAATGATTTGAGTGTGTCGTGTCTTAGTGACAGCCGTGTTGTTCTTTTATACTTAAACTGTAATGGGTCAGAAATACACATATTGCTAAGGCGCCAGGCAGTATATATGAACTGCTTTGATAAAAAGGTATACCACGTCCTTGCAATGTTTCCTTCCTCACATTTGCAAATTATTCACTTTTTTCTGGAATATTAGAAAGCCAGCTTGTTTTGATGCAATTTTCACCTTTTTAGGCTAAACGTACTCAGTACGGCCTTTCAGACAAAATTTACCGATCCTGGCCTTCTCATTGGCTGAAATATCGAACAGAGTTAAAGCCCTCTTAAGATATTTTGAAAACGTGTTCTCCAAAAAAGTGAAACTTTGTGGATTGAGTAATTAGGTCATATTACACCTGGTCATGTATCGAAAATTTAGTCACGGTAGTGGGAAGCTCTGGTAAATGGAGGAAGGAAAAAACAATAATCTTGTGCACCGTGTACTGGTCTCATGCAGCTTTGGTCAAGTCACTCTTCGTTAGTCTTTATACAGACAAACTGCTTCCCTAAAATTAATAGAGAATTTGATTCGTTTTAAGAATGGCACGACTCACAGAAGTTCAGAGAGGTCAGGCCATTCAGATGCTGATGCAAGGACAGCTTCAAAATCAGGTTGCTAGGCACTTTGGTGTTAATGTTTCCACCACAGAACGTCTTGTCAGACGTCTTCGGGAAACTGGGCGATTGGCCGATCGACCTAGGTCAGGACGTCCGCGCGTAACGTCACGACGTCAGGATCGCTATATCGTCGTCTCTCAAGTGCGTAATCGGCGCATGACTGCCGTTGAGAGTGCACTTAATGTTCGTTGAAATCATGGGTGTCCTATAAGTTCAAAAACTGTAAGGAATCGATTACGAGAAGTTGGTGTAAGAGCACGTCGTCCCTACGTAGGTCCACACCTTACCCCTGCTCGACGTCAGCGTCATATGGCCTGGGTCGCTGCACATGCTCCACGACGGTTTCCAATGAGGCAGAGGAGACAAGTTTTCTTCACGGACGAGTCTCGATTCTGTCTTTATCGATCTGACGGCCGTCAACGTGTCTACCGACGTCGTGGCGAACGTTTACGGACACTTGCGTTGTAGAGAGGGATAGGTTAAAGGGCGGTTCAGTAATGGTGTGGAGAGGAATCTCACACGGGCTAAAATCACAATTGGTTGTTATTGATGGCAATTTAACAGCAGCTAAGTATAGAGATGAGATCCTCCGACCCCCCATGTTATCCCATTCTTACAGCAGCATAATCTAACCCTCCAGCAGGATAATGCTAGGCCCCACGTAGCAAGGATTTGCCAAGTCTTTCTGGCCAACAACAACATTCAACCACTAGATTGGCCGCCATATAGCCCTGATTTGTCCCCGATCGAGCATCTTTGGGACCAGTTGGATAGACAGGTTCGAAAGCGCCAGCCACCCCCTGCTACTCGAGAGCAGTTGACCAGAACTCTGATTGAAGAGTGGGACAACATCCCCATAAGACGGATTAACGCTCTCATGAACTCTATGACCAGAAGAATAAGGGCCGTGACCACAGCAAACGGCGAACACACAAGATATTGATGACTCAGTTCAATTTCAATTTCAAAATCCTATGGGTCCATTCAATTTAATCGTTAGTACCTCTAAACCAATTGTCAGATGCAAAATACAGACTTTGGAAAATTTTGAGCTTAATTTATCTGTAAGTATACAAAATTTCGTTTTAAATGAAGCCCGATATCATATTTTATTTCTGGTTTAAAGTTCACCCTGCGTTTCTTTATCCTTTTAGTATATTATATATACACAAAGCACTACCTGCTAAAGTCATCACAACAGAAATAGAGTTTCAAGAAAATCTAATGGTGGATATACAGCTTACAAACAATGATAGATTATTGATAGTTATGATCTATAGGTCCGACAGTGGAGAGAAAGAAAACAATGATAAGCTACAAGAATAAACTATGTGTCCAGGTCAGGACATACAAACCTACTAATACTAGGAGATTTTAATCTACCAAATATTGACTGGAAGCTATGGAATACAAAGGGTGAATCAACACTTCATTGGAGTATAGATTCGTGGATAATGTGTCAGATTAATTTCTTTTCCAGCATGTGTCAAAACTAACTAGATTCAGAGGAAACGACACTCCCAACATCCTCGATCTATTTCTTACAAAGGATGAGGAATCTGTTACCAATTTAGACATTCAGAGCCCTTTAGGGAAAAGCGACCACTGTGTTTTAAGTTTTGATTTTATCTGTAAAGCTAAATTCAATAACAGAACAAAGGTTAGGAAATGCTGCACCAAAGCAGATTACAAAATAATAAATGAAGCAATTCAAACAGTAGCATGGAGAAATGAACTAATACCAGAGAACGGGATACAAAAGAACTGGGATATACTCCACAAGAAAATAAAGGAGATAGAAGACAATCTAGTACCAACATCGGTGACAGGCTCTGTGAAAAGGAAAGGGAGAGACATTCCATTAGACAAGAAATTTACAGACCTAATAAAGTTAAAGCACAGACTGGCAAAGAAAGTGATAAATAACAATAACCCAGAAAATGAAAAGCAGTATAATGTAATTTTTAGCACAGGTTCTTGCCAATTTTGCTGATTGGGATGAATCAAATAGATATTTAAAACGATGATCTATTGCTTCAATTACACAGAAAATAATATAACAAACAGATATTTAAAACGATGATCTATTGCTTCAATTACACAGAAAATAATATAACAAACAGATATTTAAAACGATGATCCATTGCTTCAATTACACAGAAAATAATATAACAAACAGATATTTAAAACGATGATCTATTGCTTCAATTACACAGAAAATAATATAACAAACAGATATTTAAAACGATGATCCATTGCTTCAATTACACAGAAAATAATATAACAAACAGTTATTTAAAACGATGATCTATTGCTTCAATTACACAGAAAATAATATAACAAACAGATATTTAAAACGATGATCCATTGCTTCAATTACACAGAAAATAATATAACAAACAGATATTTAAAACGATGATCCATTGCTTCAATTACACAGAAAATAATATAACAAACAGATATTTAAAACGATGATTCATTGCTTCAATTACACAGAAAATAATATAACAAACAGATATTTAAAACGATGATCTATTGCTTACACAGAATATAATATAACATGTAATTTGGCAAAAACATTACTATAAGATTAAATTATTGCACAAAATTAATGATAGCAATATTTGAAAAAAATACTCGATAGCAGGATTAGTAAATAGATCGTAAGTTTTGTTTAACATAATTTGCTGATATAATTACATATCAATTAACTTTACATTATGACTGAATAAAATATCAAAGATGCCGACAAGTAAACAGAATCTTAATTTAAACTTAAATTCAATTAATCAATGACAAAAAATAAAGAAAAGAACCTCTGAAAAAGTACAAGGATAATAAGACCAGGTGTTTCGGCAATGTAAGCATCTTCTGCTTCATCGAAGACTCCCGCCATGGAATTATGGTCAATCAGATTACGTAATGTCACGTTCCCAAAATAAGAGCAAGTAAATCCACAACGGTATCACCTGATGTACTAGCCAATGTTTTACAATATGCACAAGTATAGTAAGCAACTAATAACACGTACAAATTAATGGAAAATCACACTAATATCATAAAACGATAAGAAACCAAATCAACAGATAGAAAGTCGATCTAGGGTATTTTTAGCGATCAGTCTTTTAGAGAACAAGTTATTCTCGCTATAAAACTGAACATCATTTGTTTTTCCAAATTTCAAACAATTTCTTCGCTTTACCCTTATCTGTTGTTGATTTGCAGTACACCCTTGCAAAGTATTCTTCAAAACATCCTGGAACCAGCATGCGAAAATCGTTCTGTTTCTAAAAAATGAAACGGAAAACGCACTGCAGAGTTAGTAAGTCATTTTTGGTTATCCCTTTTTTGACGGAAAGGAAAACATCGTTCATATGCTTAAACTAGCCCCAAGGGTCCAGGAAATCGTGTACTAATGTTATTCTCAAAGTATAAAACTGACCTTATTTCCTTACAGTTTATCTTAGGTTTCGATTAATTCCAAATGAAAATAAATAAAAATGTAAATTATTACCTTACTGTGTAAATTATAGTTAATTATACCGACTCACAAGGGAAACGTCACTGTCAATTATAGTTAATTATACCGACTCACAAGGGAAATGTCACTGTCAATTATAGTTAATTATACCGACTCACAAGTGAAACGTCACTGTCAATTATAGTTAATTATACCGACTCACAAGGGAAACGTCACTGTCAATTATAGTTAATTATACCGACTCACAAGGGAAACGTCACTGTCAATTATAGTTAATAATACCGACTCACAAGTGAAACGTCACTGTCAATTATAGTTAATTATACCGACTCACAAGTGAAACGTCACTGTCAATTATAGTTAATTATACCGACTCACAAGGGAAATGTCACTGTCAATTATAGTTAATTATACCGACTCACAAGGGAAATGTCACTGTCAATTATAGTTAATCATACCGACTCACAAGAAAAATGTATATGAAAAACTAGTTAATCATACCAGTTTTCACGTGAAACTTCTCTGTTAGTTAGTTATACCGGTTCGCGGTTTTAAGAGTCCTAAATTAAACCTGGTCCTGAAAGAACACCTGCATAGAGTAATTAAAACTAGAATTCCTGACGGAAATATCTTTGTTAACTGTGGTTAATTTTACTTGCTCCCAAGGGAAACAAATTATAATAATAATAGCCCCACTTTTACATTAATAGAAACCATGTACACAATTAAAACAAAATATCTTACTGTAACTACTTTCTCAACGTTATCTTTGGTGTACTCGTAGGCTTTTTCAACAGGGTTTTTATCGTCACTTCCCCAATCGAAATGGGCAATCTGGAAAAAAAGAATTTAGGATCATTCATAATATGATAAGTAATAAATACTGCATGATATCCTAATGAGTGATTCTACGAAGTGTACAAAGAGGGAACAAACACTCCCACAAAACTAGCCATATATAGTCTTAGTTTAAACTATCGTTTTTGATAAATTGCTCTTGCATCGTCGTGTTCTACTTTGAATTGATATTTTGGCACCCTGTCATATTTTCCTTTTTTTAACTATTGATGAACAAGTTACGATATTAATAGTTGAAACAAAATGTTAATAATATGGAGGAACGTGGAGCGTTTTTCTTTAATTGTTGGCACAACAAAGAAAAATACCTACACGTATTTATTCATTCACAGATTTGATGATCTAGGGCGAACAAAGAACAAGAGAATCATTTAACTCATCAAAAAAATGACATGGACATTAAGACTAGGTGTCATTGAAATTTGGAGTTTTCACTTTACTTTAAGTTGTAAAATGTTAAGATGTTTTCCACATTAAATGTAATTACAGTTGAACATCGCTATCTCGAATTCGTGTAACTCGAAGACCCCGTTTAATTCGAAGCATTTCGTAGGTCCCTGATAAAATTTACACAAAGCATTCGAATTCCTATAAACCCAATACTTGTTTATCTCGACTTTTCCCTTGGTCCTGACGAGTTCAAGATAACGAGGTTCGGCTTTATGTCAAGATGATATCCAGTACAAGTACAACGTATCGTATAAAAAAATCACTTACATTGACAACGATTTGTTCTTTCATTTCAGTATCGTTTCCTGTAATCTCTTCTTTCAGTTTTGTTTCATTGGCTTCCTCTTTCTGTTGTAAATATTCAGTCAATAACTTTTAATATGCGTTCCGTAACAATGGATAATAATACATGAAATGAAGTACAGCATGTTGAATAAGAAATATAGAAATGTGATTAAACTACTTACAGATAAACATCACAGTTTATAAAGTTTTAATCAACATTACAAAATAATAAAATTTGATTCCTAAGTTTGTATAAGGAGTAATGTATATATTTGTAAAGGAAAGTATCCTATTTTCATCATCACAAAGCATTGTATAAAACAATTGGCTTTAACAAACTACTCACAAAGTATTTCTATTCGATATGAAACATAAATTGTTTTAATTTCGAAATCCATTTCATATAAGAAGGTATAAATTGAACTACTTTTATTCTGTTATCTCCATATAATTAGATATTTCACAGTAAATACTTCGGAGATCCTATTTCTAGGGCGTATTTGCCATCACCTATGAGATACATGTACCTATGAGTTTAAGGATATTTATGAGTTTTTAGAAATGTGACATCCAGAAATACTCTTTTTTTTTCTGCTTAATATAATATGCACCTTAGCAGCGAATCAACATATATAATGCATGTGCATGAAGTGTGATTTTCTTCAGGTAGCTGTGTAATAGAGTCTATAAATACCTCTTTTTGTGATCGTTACCAGTAATTCTCTCTACAATGTCTTATCAGTGTTTCCTTTTAACGATAAACAATTGAGAAATAATCATCTATACATTTACATTTCAATATACATATGATGAACTTAAGGTATGGCAAACTACCCAGTACTGTATAATTTACTCTACATCTGACCTTGCATTATGAGGACTTTCGAGTTACATGCACCCCGTGCTCGTTGTTGTAATATTTTCTTCATATGATTAATTACCAGCCTCTTGACATGTTATTATCATCTTAGTGATATATTTCTTAATTTCTGGGATAAACAAACGACCTTTACCATGTTCCAAATTTTGTTTAAAAAAATTCATTAATAACATGTTTACTTTAACAGAATGTCTACACTACTTTTATGTTAGGGAAGGTGACCTTAAGCAGTGGCGAACAATCGGATTTCAAGATAAGTAACTAAAACCTCTAAAACGACAAGAATTCATCGGAAGCTCAGATGTCCATCCGAGACTAATTTGGGTCATCATAGGTCTGGGCATGACGTGTATGGTGATACTTTATGTACCTTGATATGCTTTTCTCCAATGAATGGATACAGTTCCCTCCTAAAAATTCTTTTGCCAATTTTTGTTTTATACAATACGTCGTCGGTAAGTGTAACGTAGGCATCCATGTTTTCTACGGCTTCATGAAGCGTGATGTTTTCCTCAACCCTTAAACACAAAAAACAATTGTTGAAGTGCAAATGAACTGTTCTGATTGATACCTACTGGTATCAATACTACAATTGTTTTTAGTTTTATTATCTAAATGTTTGAAGTGTACTTTCAAAGATTTCTAATAACTATTGACTTTGACAGATTTACACTTGCCTGGCGAGAAGGGTTTTTAGGTAACAATGACAATAATATTTCAATCTGCTGTTAATATGAAGCCGTGAATGACTATAGTGAAGTAGCCCAGTACCAGAATTGTAACCGTGCCTTTAACCAGTCTCCCTCCGTCTACACACCTCACCACAATCATTCTAACAATCTGTTTTTTTTTTCATGTTCACTCCACTTGCTTTCTATCGCTTTTTTCACCTCTCTTTTGTCTAATGTCCCCCTTTCCTCTAGTAAAAACTCGGGAGATATATTGAATTTTGTTCCACGATCAGCTATTTACTATGTAAGAGTTATACGTTAGTATGTAACCAATATCAAGCTGATTCTATACTTACAGGTGCAGCTCACTTTTAGTTAAAAATTTATCTCACTCTGTACTACTTAGAGTTTAGCTCACTCTGTATTTGTATTTCAAATACACTTTTTAAGTGTAACGAATAGGTAACACTGCAATTATCAAAATATAGCACACTCATTGTGCAGTTTTCTTTGTAGTTCAAGATTTAGCTCAGGGTATGTTTAGCTAAGTCTTTAATTGTTAAAAATTTAACCTATTCTGCCCTGGTTTAATAGAGGTCATTTTAATGCATCCGCTAGGATTCGAACCCGTGACCCCTAACCTTCTAGTCTGACGCTCAACCGATCTAGCTTTAGATATATTGTAATATGTCGAACAGTATATTTCGGCTAGTATTTACTAATGTTATACGTAAATGCTAAGCTAACTCAGTAAGTGTTCAACATTAGCCCACGTTTGGGATAATGCCTATTCTGCCGTAGATAATTTGAAGTTTATAATACTTAACATGCAAAATTTGTTCAGCATATCCATAACTACGTATAATATGTAGAGTAATTGGCGTCTGTGCATAACATCTATGCATTAAAACTCGAAAATAACACCCTGCCTCTTTTCTTGAACAGCAAGAAAGGTTGACTTGTTTAAGGGTAGTTGTGTAGACGAAAGATAATACTTGTACTTAAAATATCGTATAAAGGACAGCAAAGTACGCATTAAAAAGTGTTCTCATTAAAGATTACGAAGTTTGCAGTGTAATAGTAAATATGATTTTAAACAATAGCAAGTCACGTATGTTATCGAAAAAGTATGTTTAAGTTCACATTTTACTAATTAATACCATCATGAAGAACAGGAAAACTTGTATTTTGGCAATACATATACCAGTAAGAAAATGTGTCCCATTTGTGAATATTCTTGAAATATATGTTAGTCTTTCCGTTAAAGATGACAAACTAAAGCGCGGTTTTTTTTCTAAACGTTGCTATCAATACCGATAAAGTAGGAAAGCTAATAGCAAATTTTAATGTATTGTAACAAAGTATGGATAATTGTAGTAAACTTCATTGAATTCAAATAATAAGGTTCATGACACAACACAAAATTTAAAGGTAAAGTTTACATTTTAATGAACGATTTTTCTTAGTTAACTTCGTTATGCATTGTGACAAAGAATAAAGTTTGAAAGGGAATGTTGTGATATAATGTGACGAAGTGCAAATTGTTGAAGTAAATATCGTTATCTTTCAGTTCAAATTACGAATGTCCATAACAAAAATCATGATACATTTTGACAAAGAACCATTTTTATAACGAACATACTACAACATATTGTCAAAAAACGATTTTTTATAACGAACATTGTTATGTATAAATGTATTAACCCAAATTCAGATGTGCTGTGTTTACATGCATTGTATCATATTGTTGTTTATATGAAAAAAGCTGTTTGTGCTTATTTGTCACATTACGTGTAGATAGTGCAAGACAGATTTTTCTAGAACATGATGGAACTGAGCCGGAGCAGCCTTTTTGAAGTATTAACGCCTTCACTCCGCTTATTTTGAGACTTCAGACTGTGAAGTGCCTTGCCTTGTGGAATTGCACTTATATATACCCAGTGAGGAAACCATTCTCGGATTATTCGGTTACCTATATTCTGGACAATCTATTGTGAAGTTTTCTGGATTTGGAGAATTTCCATCGAAAGATAAGTTCTGACTTTTGGTTAATTAGTAGCTAACTCTGTACACCATCGCAATATTTGTAATTTGCTGTATAGAATGCATTTGCTGTTACTAAATTGTTGAATTTTAACCTAGCTGTTGGGTTTTATTGGCTGCACGTTAGTTACGTAACGTAACAACATATATACATTTTGACAATGACCCAATTTTTATAACAAACATCGTTATACATTTTGACAAAGTACTGATTTTTTATAATAAAAATCATTATACATTTTGCAAGCAAGGCATTCTAATAAGGTTATTAATTAATGGTCAAAAAAGAATAAAAAATATTACGATTTGCAGTGATTGTAAATTATTTTAATAACTTCTTACCCATCTTTGTTGGTAAAGGAGACAATCTTTTCATCCTTTCCTTCATCCAATGCATCTAAAACCCTGTTGATTTTAAGAAAATTATTCTTTCAATATAGATATAGATACACAGTCAAATAATCCCATAACCTGCATTATACAGATGTATCGTAATTCTATGAACCATCAGTGGTGCTGGGGCTTTGATAGAAACAGAGGTGGCGACTGGGAGAATTCAAAATTGGTCGAAATCATTGTCAAAAGTCAGATGCGAAGGATCAATGACCATAATTAACAATAATTGTCATAATAGTCAACATTAAACAGAAACTTTTTCACAATATATTTATGACAATGCGAGAATGGCCAGCTATACTACCAATCAGCCTTAATGGTAGACCGAATATTAACAAATGTGTTGAATTGTTCTCTTTAGAAAAGGATTGTCTTATTCCAAATTTAGAGCTGAATATTCATAAAGCAAATGAAATAAGACTTGACATAAAATTTCCATAAAGGCTATTGTAAAATGTTTTCAGATTTGAATATTGGTAATGTTGGTGCATTTTCCAATGTGTGAAATCGCCGTGTCATAAACGTAATGTAAATGCTGTTGATATTTGGATGATTAAATATACTTTTTCATTACCATCATGTATATATCAAATAGGTATCAAAAATATTAAATGATATAATACTTTCCATTGTACATTCACACGTTAAAAGAGCTGTAATAGGAGACAAAAGTATAATTATTTATAACGAGGCTAGATTATGCGGGAAAATATGCAACATTTTGAAGACTGAAAGTTAACTGTGTATATGGAATATATCAAATTTTTGCTATACTGTATATAAATTGGGAATATCATATTGATGTTACGGTATATAATTGTGGAATATTATATTGATGTTTACTGTATATAATTGTGGTATATCATACTGATGTTTACTGTATATAAATGTAGTATATGATACTGATATCTACTGTATATAAATGTGGTATATCAAACTGATGTTTACTGTATATAATTGTGGTATATCATACTGATGTTTACTGTATATAAATGTGGTATATCATACTGATGTTTACTGTATATAATTGTGGTATATCATACCGATGTTTACTGTATATAAATGTGGTGTATCATACTGATGTTTACTGTATATAAATGTAGTATATTATACTGATGTTTACTGTATATAAATGTAGTATATCATACTGATGTTTACTGTATATAAATGTAGTATATCATACTGATGTTTACTGTATATAAATGTAGTATATCATACTGATGTTTACTGTATATAAATGTGGTATAATATACTGATGTTTACTGTATATAAATGTGGTATATTATACTGATGTTTACTGTATATAAATGTAGTATATCATACTGATGTTTACTGTATATAAATGTAGTATATTATACTGATGTTTACTGTATATAAATGTGGTATATCATACTGATGTTTACTGTATATAAATGTAGTATATTATACTGATGTTTACTGTATATAAATGTGGTATATCATACTGATGTTTACTGTATATAAATGTGGTATATCATACTGATGTTTACTGTATATAAATGTATATCATACTGATGTTTACTGTATATAATTGTGGTATATCATACTGATGTTTACTCTATATAAATGTGGTATATTATACTGATATCTACTGTATATAAATGTGGTATATCATACTGATGTTTACTGTATATAAATGTAGTATATCATACTGATGTTTACTGTATATAAATGTGGTATATCATACTGATGTTTACTGTATATAAATGTGGTATATCATACTGATGTTTACTGTATATAAATGTGTATATAAATGTGTATATAAATGTGGTATATAAATACTGATGTTTACTGTATATAAATGTGGTATATCATACTGATGTTTACTGTATATAAATGTGGTATATCATACTATACTGTATATAAATGTGGTATATCATACTGATGTTTACTGTATATAAATGTGGTATATCATACTGTATATAATGTTTACTGTATATAAATGTGGTATATCATACTGATGTTTACTGTATATAAATGTGGTATATCATACTGATGTTTACTGTATATAAATGTGGTATATCATACTGATGTTTACTGTATATAAATGTGGTATATCATACTGATGTTTACTGTATATAAATGTGGTATATCATACTGATGTTTACTGTATATAAATGTGGTATATCATACTGATGTTTACTGTATATAAATGTGGTATATATACTGATGTTTACTGTATTTAAATGTTGTCTATCATACTGATGTCTACTGTATATAAATGTGGTATATCATACTGATGTTTACTGTATATAATTGTGGTATATCATACTGATGTTTACTGTATATAAATGTGGTATATATACTGATGTTTACTGTATATAAATGTGGTATATCATACTGATGTTTACTGTATGTAAATGTGGTATATCATACTGATGTTTACTGTAAATGTGGTATTCATACTGATGTTTACTGTATGTAAATGTGGTATATCATACTGATGTTTACTGTATGTAAATGTGGTATATCATACTGATGTTTACTGTATATAAATGTGGTGTATCATACTGATGTTTACTGTATATAAATGTGGTATATATACTGATGTTTACTGTATATAAATGTGGTATATCATACTGATGTTTACTGTATATAAATGTGGTATATCATACTGATGTTTACTGTATATAAATGTAGTATATTATACTGATGTTTACTGTATATAAATGTGGTATATCATACTGATGTTTACTGTATATAAATGTGGTATATCATACTGATGTTTACTGTATATAAATGTAGTATATCATACTGATGTTTACTGTATATAAATGTAGTATATTATACTGATGTTTACTGTATATAAATGTGGTATATCATACTGATGTTTACTGTATATAAATGTGGTATATCATACTGATGTTTACTGTATATAAATGTGGTATATCATACTGATGTTTACTGTATATAAATGTGGTATATCATACTGATGTTTACTGTATATAAATGTGGTGTATCATACTGATGTTTACTGTATATAAATGTGGTATATCATACTGATGTTTACCGTATATAAATGTGGTATATCATACTGATGTTTACTGTATATAAATGTAGTATATTATACTGATGTTTACTGTATATAAATGTAGTATATTATACTGATGTTTACTGTATATAAATGTGGTATATCATACTGATGTTTACTGTATATAAATGTGGTATATTATACTGATGTTTACTGTATATAAATGTGGTATATTATACGGATGTTTACTGTATATAAATGTAGTATATCATACTGATGTTTACTGTATATACATATGAAATATCTTATTTGTATTTAGTTCGTATATATAAGGAATATTACTTTAGTGTTTCTTATATACTCAACAAAAAAGAAAGGTTAACATGCTTCCATGGCGAATACCTGTAAATGAGTGAAAACAAGATGATGTTTTGTGCAATATTAGAAAATGGTAATGTTTTACATTACAAAATCATTCAAGCGTGAAAGTCTGCATTAGCGAAAGAGCTGCACGAGGTTTTCTGCGACTTACTTGTATCTTCGCTTGAATTTCATAAACATTCAAACTGACAACTGTTCCTTAGAACTTAGAAATCACCGAATCTTGCTATCTATCAACTATATCATTATGCCCCAGGTGTCACAAGTACAGAGAGAAAGGGCTGTAGGCATGATCCATGCTGGGGAGTCTCGCCGTCGAGTTGCACGGCATTTTGGTTGCAGTGTTAAGACAATTTGCCAGTTGGCAAGTCGTTTAAATCAAACTGGGTCAACATCCGATCGTCCTCAAAGCGGCCGACCCCGTAAAACGACCGCCAGGGATGACCGTCGTGTACAATTGATATACTTGCACAATCAATTCGTAACCGCAGTAGAGACTACAAGGACATTGTTTGGGCGTCGTGTGTCTTCTTCATTAACAGTCTGCAACAGGTTTAGGGTCTATCAATTGAAAGCGCGGCGTCCTTACACTGGACCCAATCTGTTGCGACGTCACCGTAATAATCGGCGTAACTGGACCCGTGTTCACTGTCGTTGGGTCTTACGACAATGGAACAATGTTCTGTTTTCAGATGAGTCCAGGTTTTGTCTGCAACACGGTGACGGAAGGCGCAGAGTTCGGAGGCGACGAGGGGAGCGTTTTGTGAACTGCTGCGTGGCAGAACGGGACCGCTTTGGCGGCAGAAGTGTAATAGTTTGGGGTGGTATTTGTGGGGGGACTCGTACCAGGCTTGTTGTGTTAATTGGCAATTTAACCGGCATTCAATATCGGAACGAAATTTGAAGACCAGTGGTTCTGCCTTAAGACGCCATGGCGTTGGCGCCATTTTTCAACAGGATAACGCACCAACGCACACCAGTCGCGTCAGCAGAACTTTCTTGCAGCAAAATAACGTACAGGTGTTAGATTGGCCATCTAAATCACCTGATTTGTCACCGATTGAGAATGTCTGGGACGTTCTTGGGCGACGCGTGAGAGAACGTCAAAATCAGTCGTCAAACTTGCAGGAGCTGGCCCAAGCCTTGATCGCTGAATGGAAAAACATCTCTCCTCGAATTATCCGCCGGTTTACGAGTTCCATGCGACGACGTTGCAATGCTGTTTACTTTGCAAACAGTGGCCATACCCGTTACTAATGGTGTTACCTTTGAAATTGACCCCAACGTCCGTTAGAGTCGAATAAAATCAACTGAACGCAAAGTTTTATAATGAACCATGACTGCAGTTTTATCAGAATTGATCAATTACTTTATTCGTACATGGTTGGTAAGGATATATGAAGGCGTTAATTAATTAATCACAGAATAAAGTAGTGTTACCTTTCTTTTTTTGTTTAGTATATTTTCTGTTTATACTTGTACATCATAAATAATATATTCATGTTCTACTGTATTTGTCTGAGGAAAGTCTAACTTGGAGGTATACCCAGTGATCACTATAGCTACGAATTTTATCAAGGAGAAAAAAAATGAAATAAGGTTTTTTACTTGGGTACACCTTAGTTATATTTCCTACTTACATCAGTTCTATCACCTTTGGTATCCTATGCTGATAGGCCTTTCGATGCAGCATGAAGCGGGTGTGGAACATCTCACAAATATTGGCGATATCCTTTACAATATATAAGTTCATTGTGACGAAATTAAATTTCACGTTCGTTGAAGTTACCATGACAATGAAAAAAGCTGAATGAAAATTTATTTGAGGGAGAAGAATATTAATAGTATTTTCGAGAACGTCTTGATAAATATATAATTCGATTCTGTCATGGAATTAATATGACGGGTACATTGTATATACATTTACCAAACGATAGCCTAACGTATAATGCTCAAGCATAAGGTTATATTGATGTTTCAAAAATCAAGTGATAAAGAATGGCATCTCTTTAGATAATTCCGCAGAAATTCTTTAACAGACGTTTTGTTCTCGTAGGGAAGCATTTAAGGTCACGTGCAAAAGCATTTAATTTTCTGATAAAAATTATTTTCTGCTTGATCAGTATCCTATTTTAAGAATTTAAGATTTTTGTAAGAACTATATATTACAAAACTTATAAATTTGGTCACAGTCATCTCATTGTACGACTGACCTTCAGCACAAAGCGTCACAAACTTCGCGCACGCATTGCCCACCCGCAGTACACAGTATCTAAGTGGTGGTTATAAAATTAATTTTTAGCTCGACAGTAACATATAATAACGTCTTTCTTTCTTATAGTTGACACTTTAGAAAGTGGTGAACGTTTTGTCTCGGGCAAAAAAAAATACATGTATACGGTTGTGTAAGTAATAGGTCTGAATCGAGATCTCCCGTGAAAAAAAAAGTATATATTTGTTTACAAAGTAATAGATAGATGAGAGTAGTACCGAAAATTAATGTATGCTAAAGGTATAAATGATAAGGATTCCTTGCCGAGAAAAAAAAGAGATGTCCATTTAATTATAATGTTATTAAACATAATGTAAATAGAATGAGTGTATGTACACTTAGACACAATGGATAATCTGTAAACAAAACACTTTAAATTAAGAGTTCATTTAACTATTCAGTCCGTATTCGATAAATCTACATCTGTCGAACCTATAGATGTATGCTATAATGAGGAAATATACTTAGTTATACTCTTACATATTTAGAAAATTCATAAACCCTATCCAACACTTATCTATGATATCTATTACGATAGAACCACACATCTTTGCGATACAACTGCAAATTCCGACAAGAAGCAATACCTAATTAATAATCACATAGTAACCGAAATTGGCACTCCTCCTTTTACGAAGTTTTTCTGTCATTATTTTCTGCAATATTGCAATATTATATCAAGAGAAATAGGAGTTAGACTTACCTTATCTCGATAGGCGACATGGGTCATACCATCGTCATCATCACATGCTCTAGCAGATGCTATCAACCTGCCATGATCAAAGCTATTCTTCACTCCCAGATAGAGAGAATCGCGAGAGAAGTAATCCCATTTGTCAACATCAACACCATTTGCTTCATTGGCAACAATCTGTCAAAAATATGACAGAAAGAAATCGGATCGGTTGTTGTTATTTGCATGAAGAAAAACCTCACAAGAAATTAAGGTGGTTTTTTTTGTGTTTTGTGGTTTCGGTGCCACGTCATGGAAACGTTTGATTGATAACAGCGTGACGAAATAGTCCTGGAATCATTGGACTGCTTACGTTTGAAAATAAAACATAAAGCAGAATAAATCGAAAAATGATTTATCAAACAACTAGATTAATTAATTCCATTCTATATGGTCTTCTCTTGCGTAAATTAACAAGATCTTTTTCATTTTTTATCATTTGGATTTACTCATATCAGATATATACACAAACCTCATAAAGAAAGTATTCTCTCTTCTTTTCTTCAACGCCAGATTTCAATATTGTCTGTCAAGAATTAGGTACATACTTCAATTATCGATATAATTCCTAATCTCATTTTGGGCTTTATGAAGCAATATATACATAGCATACATAATATATACGTAAATTATTGTAAAACTGCATGAAGACGAAAATTATTTTATAGATATATAGCACATATATCATTATCACACAGTGCCCGTCTTAATAAAGGCGAACAGTGTAATACTTAATGCTGTGTAGTACAGAAAGCATGACGTCTATTATCCTATTATGTTAACTATTTAAAATCAAATAAACTTGTATTTCTTTTTAAATATCACAAAAATATATTGCCTCGATATTGCGTTTTCATAACTCAAAACTAGTAAATTACGTAGTTACGAACTCTCTCCTCACCAATTATTAGATACACGATTTGAAACTGATCCACATCATTGGATTTATTGACATGTTGACTTGCAGCAATCTACTGTCTTTATTTACATGTATCTTCATGTATGCCATTTATAATTTCATACAGAAATACCAAAATCAATATTGCGTACAACATAATTAGCAAAAGCAACATAAATACCTGGTATAGATTTTCCGGTGGATGTATCAAATCTTTTATAAAGTTAACGTCCTTTTCATCCAAGTTCCCTAGTTCCTTTTTGTAACGAGTTGGCGATTAAAAAAATAGAAATGCACATCCGATATACTTTTCTTACATTGAATAAGTGTACATTTCTATAAGTAATTGCAATCAATAAAACGCTGCTTTTATAATTAGGATTTTTGTTACACTTATTGTATGGACTATTACAATGAACTCTGTAAACACTCTCATTATCAACATAAATAATATCCAGGTTACTTCCAGCTTTTTGAAAAATTATATGAAATGCTGGAAAATTGAAAAAAAAATAAAATGAAAAGATATATATATATAATATAAAAGATTCTTATACAAATTTAAGTTTGGTTTCGTTTGAACAAAAGAACGGCCTGAAAACACACAGAAAGGCACTACCACTACTACTAAACGTTAATCACGAAGCAGTAGCTACCATTTTAAAAGACTCTGGAATGTCTCCCCATGGGGATAATATCTAGAATGCCGTATTCAAAGGGCAAACGCCAATATTGACGTCAGAAGTGAGGCATTGCTAAAAGAAAAATGATTTTTGAAAAAAAAGAAACGAAGTTAAATTCAATCACTTCTTTTGAATAATGCAATTAGGACGGCGTTTGAAATTAGTAGACCTTATCTACATGGTTAGGGTTGACTGTTGTAATCACAAACGTAAGCTTGTTTATACTCGGTAAGAGGGTTGCCATGGACTGCTTGTGAAGTATTGCATATCTTTTATGACTTGAAAACAATTACCTTAAACTCTTTCTTCATGCCCTCGTATATCCTCTGAACTAACTGCTTCGAGACGTCCTCGTGCTTTAAAGAGATATAGATGTACAGTTATCAATCAGTGGACATACTTATGAAAACACCTCTCACAAAGACATTTGAAACTACATATCTAACGTTTGGTGTAAATGTATAAGTGAGTATAGTATGAGCTTATACTGATGAATAAGAATACACAATACCAATATACAGGAATGCGCCATATCAATCTACACATAACTATACGTATGTGTACATACAATTTCATAATGATATATTGGTGCGATATTTTAAATTTCTGTTTTTATTCCTTTTATAGAAAATACAATACAATAGTTGCCATCTATGTTTAACTAAACCCTTGGAATGAACGGAAACGGATTCTCCAGTATAGCCATTAAAATCATATTTACTTTTTCTTCATACGATGAAGGATTACATGGATACCTAGTCATTAAATGCTATAGCATTCATTGTTATTATGAATGACAGACCGTATACTGGCAAACGTCATTTCATGCGCTTAGTATGGTTATCGATCAGTTTACCAGTCGTTCAATAACTTTTACTAACCAGAATAGTACCTTTCCTTCGTCTTTTATTTGATCAAACACAACTGATGCGAATGTTGAATACCTTAAATTTTCACTGATTTTGTGCTTTTCATTGAAAGCTTTGTTTGAATTAATTTCTAGGAAAAACTAAAAAGGCTTGTAAGCAAATAATTGTTTAATACTGTGTTTAGTAGCTGTGTCAGCTGAAATCAGCAAATGAATGAAAATGAATGAAAACGTGAACGGCACGGGAATACTTAAAAGGCAGTAAGCAGCCATTCAATAATTACCTTCCAAGCCTTGCTGCGTTGTTTGTTGACAAATTTTTCAAACATGTGAGAAAATGGACCATGACCTGTTTACAACAAAACAAAAGTATTCAGAACAATTATCACGTCTTTAAAAAGTTTACTTTGATTTTGTGAAATTTACATCAGGAAATACTTAAACAACTTAACATTCGATTTTTCTTTTTCTGAAGGCTATGTAAATGAAGCTAAAACAGGTCCGTAAAAATTACACTTTTTTATATTAAAGTACTGCCCTAATACTGGTTATGTAATGAAATTTCTCTTTTATTTACCCAAATCATGACAAAGTCCAGCAATCTTCACACATAATTTCTTCTTCTCCGAGACTTTTTTATCTTCAGGTTGTCGACTCGCAATAGCCTCCACCAATATCCCGGCCAGGTGACACACTCTGTAAGGGGAATCATTATTCTATACGTTATTTTTTTCCCGACTGTTACTGATGCCAATTAAAATTTGCCGTTATTGAAATTTGCTTGATGATTATTACGAATAACAACAGTATTTTCACGTTAAAGAACAATGCTTTGATTATTCACCCGAAGACTCAGAAATAAATGGTAACTTTCACTACAAGTTAAGAATCAGATAGAGTTAAGACAAAACATGAATGAAACAGCAGATTTGTCTATTTAAGCCTCGTCAGTGTTTCGGTAGATTAAGCGTCTTCTGTTTCATTGATGACACCTTTCATGTATAGATTGGTGAATCCAAGTAAGTAGAGTCTCGTTTGCAGATGAAAACGAGGTAAACAACAACAGAATCAAACGGCATCAAATAAGTTCAGCTTCATACTAAGCAGTGGGATCAGTTGCAAAATGTAATTGATACCTGTGGAAACGCAAAAAGGTAAGCAAACATTTTAACTTGGTAAAGATAGCCTTACCCAATACAGTGTTCAAATCGGTTATGTGAGGCGCCATGATAGAGATAGTAACATCCTCCCAACTGTTTCACAAAGCGCAACCTCTGGAACTCCGGTGTGTCGATGATCTTGACACATAATGGGTGTAGTTCGATATCTCCATGGATTGGATCTTTAAACACCTGAAAAATGAAACATCAATTAACCATTAATACAGCTGGGGATAGTTGGGTGAAGAAAGATTTCAAAATACTTAAATATTAAACCATCACCCTTCATGATGTTAGTGCAATTATACATAATTCGCGCGACCGTACAGACAATTCATTCACACCAGCGTAAATGCTAGGCTTCATACATATCCGAATGAAGTTCTGCCACGGAAAGACTTTATTTTATAAAGTTCTACGGAGTTATTTCTCTTCTCAAAGTTAATAATCAGGTGAACAATGTCTTTGGGATACTTCTATCAAACACTACAATTATACCGCACGCACATAAGGATTTTAAGTCATGCACACTTTTTTCTGTAAGAATGCAAAAAAAAATAATCAGTATTACTTGTGAACTAGTTGATGTTCACTTCAACATAAACTTCTGATAAACGAAAAAATGGCGATATGTTAACAGAATCTTAACTTGAATTCAATAAAACTAGGCAAAACAATGAAAAAAAATGTCTCTTGAAATAGCTAACGGAGAACAAGACCAGGTGCTCCGCTGTGATAAGCACCATCTGCTTCATCGGTGATAACTGACAAGTAAATCTTGGCCAATCCAATTAAGTAAAGAAATAGATTATTTCTCAATGAGTTTATTATAACGACCGTAAATGTTCCCCGTGATCTTCCCACAACAAGCCCTTTTCGGTATTTTCTTGGGATTTCTTGAATATCAGATAAACTGCTGCACTGAAACACCATAGACTGGGGGTTGTGGGATTGGCGCTATTTTGAACTGGAAATTTCAGGACAAGTAAACTAAGTCGTTAATTTTGCCATACAACTTGTTAAAGAGCTGTCCATGTAGAATGCCTAGTAAAAGGGGTCTGTGGTGTCTTTAAATATACTATATTTATATTTAAGGACAAGACGTCATAAAATATACATATGTATATCTGAAAAGGGAAATTAAATGACTTTGTCTGCTTGACCTCTTTTGATAAGATCTTCAATAACTTCAGCCTCAGAGTACAGAAACAAATCACATGTCAGCTAAGAGAGGAAAATATTATTTGACTTCTTATACCATAAATTGATCGACTTCCAATACATCTCCTGTCCTAACCGATTTCATTCGTGTTAAAATATAGCGATTGCAAATGAGCTGCTGAAGTGCAAATCAGGGAATCAGAAGTTTGACTAATTCATCTCACCCCATTCCAACACACACACCGTGTATAACTAGGGTATAAGAAGATTAACTAATACATCTCATCCCCTTCCAACACACACACCGTGTATAACTAGGGTATCAGAAGATTAACTGACACATCTCATTCCCTTCCAACACACACACCGTGTATAACTAGGGTATAAGAAGATTAACTGACACATCTCATCCCCTTCCAACACACACACCGTGTATACCTAAGGGTATCAGAAGATTAACAAGGACACATCTCGCCCCCTTCCAACACACACACCTTGTATAACTAGGGTATCAGAAGATTAACTGACACATCTCACCCCTTCCAACACACACACCGTGTATAACTAGGGTATCAGAAGATTAACTGACACATCTCATCCCCTTCCAACACACACACCGTGTATACCTAAGGGTATCAGAAGATTAACAAGGACACATCTCGCCCCCTTCCAACACACACACCGTGTATAACTAGGGTATCAGAAGATTAACTGACACATCTCATCCCCTTCCAACACACACACCGTGTATAACTAGGGTATCAGAAGATTAACTGACACATCTCATCCCCTTCCAACACACACACCGTGTATAACTAGGGTATCAGAAGATTAACTGACACATCTCATCCCCTTCCAACACACACACCGTGTATAACTAGGGTATCAGAAGATTAACTGACACATCTCATCCCCTTCCAACACACACACCGTGTATAACTAGGGTATCAGAAGATTAACTGACACATCTCATCCCCTTCCAACACACACACACCGTGTATAACTAGGGTATCAGAAGATTAACTGACACATCTCATCCCCTTCCAACACACACACCGTGTATAACTAGGGTATCAGAAGATTAACTGACACATCTCATCCCCTTCCAACACACACACCGTGTATAACTAGGGTATCAGAAGATTAACTGACACATCTCATCCCCTTCCAACACACACACCGTGTATAACTAGGGTATCAGAAGATTAACTGACACATCTCATCCCCTTCCAACACACACACCGTGTATAACTAGGGTATCAGAAGATTAACTGACACATCTCATCCCCTTCCAACACACACACCGTGTATAACTAGGGTATCAGAAGATTAACTGACACATCTCATCCCCTTCCAACACACACACCGTGTATAACTAGGGTATCAGAAGATTAACTGACACATCTCATCCCCTTCCAACACACACACCGTGTATAACTAGGGTATCAGAAGATTAACTGACACATCTCATCCCCTTCCAACACACACACCGTGTATAACTAGGGTATCAGAAGATTAACTGACACATCTCATCCCCTTCCAACACACACACCGTGTATAACTAGGGTATCAGAAGATTAACTGACACATCTCATCCCCTTCCAACACACACACCGTGTATAACTAGGGTATCAGAAGATTAACTGACACATCTCATCCCCTTCCAACACACACACCGTGTATAACTAGGGTATCAGAAGATTAACTGACACATCTCATCCCCTTCCAACACACACACCGTGTATAACTAGGGTATCAGAAGATTAACAGACACATCTCATCCCCTTCCAACACACACACCGTGTATAACTAGGGTATCAGAAGATTAACTGACACATCTCATCCCCTTCCAACACACACACCGTGTATAACTAGGGTATCAGAAGATTAACTGACACATCTCATCCCCTTCCAACACACACACCGTGTATAACTAGGGTATCAGAAGATTAACTGACACATCTCATCCCCTTCCAACACACACACCGTGTATAACTAGGGTATCAGAAGATTAACTGACACATCTCATCCCCTTCCAACACACACACCGTGTATAACTAGGGTATCAGAAGATTAACTGACACATCTCATCCCCTTCCAACACACACACCGTGTATAACTAGGGTATCAGAAGATTAACTGACACATCTCATCCCCTTCCAACACACACACCGTGTATAACTAGGGTATCAGAAGATTAACTGACACATCTCATCCCCTTCCAACACACACACCGTGTATAACTAGGGTATCAGAAGATTAACTGACACATCTCATCCCCTTCCAACACACACACCGTGTATAACTAGGGTATCAGAAGATTAACTGACACATCTCATCCCCTTCCAACACACACACCGTGTATAACTAGGGTATCAGAAGATTAACTGACACATCTCATCCCCTTCCAACACACACACCGTGTATAACTAGGGTATCAGAAGATTAACTGACACATCTCATCCCCTTCCAACACACACACCGTGTATAACTAGGGTATCAGAAGATTAACTGACACATCTCATCCCCTTCCAACACACACACCGTGTATAACTAGGGTATCAGAAGATTAACTGACACATCTCATCCCCTTCCAACACACACACCGTGTATAACTAGGGTATCAGAAGATTAACTGACACATCTCACCCCTTCCAACACACACACCGTGTATAACTAGGGTATCAGAAGATTAACTGACACATCTCATCCCCTTCCAACACACACACCGTGTATAACTAGGGTATCAGAAGATTAACTGACACATCTCATCCCCTTCCAACACACACACCGTGTATAACTAGGGTATCAGAAGATTAACTGACACATCTCATCCCCTTCCAACACACACACCGTGTATAACTAGGGTATCAGAAGATTAACTGACACATCTCATCCCCTTCCAACACACACACCGTGTATAACTAGGGTATCAGAAGATTAACTGACACATCTCATCCCCTTCCAACACACACACCGTGTATAACTAGGGTATCAGAAGATTAACTGACACACATCCCCTTCCAACACACACACCGTGTATAACTAGGGTATCAGAAGATTAACTGACACATCTCATCCCCTTCCAACACACACACCGTGTATAACTAGGGTATCAGAAGATTAACTGACACATCTCATCCCCTTCCAACACACACACCGTGTATAACTAGGGTATCAGAAGATTAACTGACACATCTCATCCCCTTCCAACACACACACCGTGTATAACTAGGGTATCAGAAGATTAACTGACACATCTCATCCCCTTCCAACACACACACCGTGTATAACTAGGGTATCAGAAGATTAACTGACACATCTCATCCCCTTCCAACACACACACCGTGTATAACTAGGGTATCAGAAGATTAACTGACACATCTCATCCCCTTCCAACACACACACCGTGTATAACTAGGGTATCAGAAGATTAACTGACACATCTCATCCCCTTCCAACACACACACCGTGTATAACTAGGGTATCAGAAGATTAACTGACACATCTCATCCCCTTCCAACACACACACCGTGTATAACTAGGGTATCAGAAGATTAACTGACACATCTCATCCCCTTCCAACACACACACCGTGTATAACTAGGGTATCAGAAGATTAACTGACACATCTCATCCACTTCCAACACACACACTCCGTGTATAACTAGGGTATCAGAAGATTAACTGACACATCTCATCCCCTTCCAACACACACACCGTGTATAACTAGGGTATCAGAAGATTAACTGACACATCTCATCCCCTTCCAACACACACACCGTGTATAACTAGGGTATCAGAAGATTCCAACACACAACTGACACATCTCATCCCCTTCCAACACACACACCGTGTATAACTAGGGTATCAGAAGATTAACTGACACATCTCATCCCCTTCCAACACACACACCGTGTATAACTAGGGTATCAGAAGATTAACTGACACATCTCATCCCCTTCCAACACACACACCGTGTATAACTAGGGTATCAGAAGATTAACTGACACATCTCATCCCCTTCCAAC